AATTTATCATTCTTAACACCGATATTACTTTTAATTCTAAAGATTTATTATTCATCAACTTTCCTGGAGAAATAAAGCAATGTATTATTTTCACTTTTAATGCTAACCCGACACCTCTAGTTCATAATAACTATTTTCCCATCTTTATCAGTTTGAACTATGACAATATCTTTTTTTAGATTTTGTTTCTTTTAATAATTTTGTTTCCTCTTTATTCATGTTAAATTTAGTAGGTTTTCTCCATTTTTGAATAAATGTTGATATTTCTGATATTGCTGCACTTTATTAATTTTGATGTTGAGAATAATGATTTTTCACAATTTACCACAGTTGTTATTGTATTAATTGATCTCGGTTTTGGAACAAATTTTAACCCTTTTGATAGTACTTTTAATTGTTATTGACTTCAATGAGTTTTTAATATATTATAGTAACATTTGATGTATCATATGTTATCTTTGAATTCATCGTTTTTGTTTGTGGTTTTGGTGATTGTTGTTGCACTTGGTTTTCTTTTAATGTTTTTATTTTCTTATCGTGCTTTTTTATTAATTTATTTTCAAAATTTTCATTAAATTTATTTATCCATCTCAGATTATCTTGATGTCGTCGTGTTGGTTGCGATGTTTTAAAATAATGATTTAATATTGAGTTTTGCGTATTAATTTCAATATTATATAATATATCTTAATTGCTTTTGTTTATGTTGTAATGTGTTGTTCCTAATTTTGTACATAGTTTGTCTTAATAATTTTTCATTTTTATTCAAATTTGTGTTGTTCTTTAATTTGAACACATTTGGTATTACGTTATGTTATTTTAATTGTACAAGAAATCTAATGTTTTGTGTTTCTATTGTTGTTTTCTTGTATAATTTTTCCAAACAGTGTGTAATGATATAAATTCTCTATCCATAGAGGTTTTTGAATTCTTGTTTTGTTAAGAACCCAAGTCCATCATTCGGACCGCCTGAAAGATTGCATTCAACTGCCTGAAACGGTCAAGAAACGGTGTAATTAATGTCCTAAATGATGAAAAACGACCACCGTTTTCCGTCAGCTCAGATTACGGAGCATTTTTTCTCGAAACGTTAACGACATCGTTTAAGGCCTTTTCCGATGAAAAAGGTCGAGTGATAAAAGGACTCTATTTTCGTCCTTTATCCTCTCAATCACGCCGTTTTGTAGTTTAAAATGAGTGTTACATTGGTCATTTATATTTTATTTCTCAAAATCAAATCAAATACAATAAAATAAAATGCATAAAATAAAAGAACTAAAATTCTAAAAAGTGAAAAATAATAGACTAAAATAAGATAAAATAAATAGATAAAATACAGTAATCTAAAAAATAAAATAATATAAATAACACTAAATAACACTAAATAAATAAAATAAAATAAACTACAATGGATTACAATAAAATAAAATAAAATGAATATAATAGGTTGAGCGACAGTGTCTAAGTATGTGTTTTACCCATATTTATATCTAAAAATAAAAGAGATGCAAAACGGCAAAATAACGTTCGCCTTAGGAGGTAGTCGTTTCCGACAATACAAAAACTGCCACTTAAAAGGCCACCATTTTTCGCCTTATCACATCGTTTTCCGATGCTTCGTTACTGGTCATTGCAACGGCTGCCATTTTTTCGTCGTTTATGGCCGTTAACGAATCGTTTTATACAACATGGGAACCCAGATCGAATAGTACGGGCCGTATACGGCCGTTTGCGGTTAATTAATGACTACTTTCCGGGTGGAAGTTTGCCGTAATATCTGACGCAGTAATACGGACCGTATGATCATGAGAGTACCGAGCACAAACAGTCGTAAACCATGCAAATTCAGTCCCGTCTACGGTGCCGTATTACTGTGCCAGGTATTACGGGCAAATACGGCCTATTTATTGCCGTAAATATACCGTTTTGACATCGTTTACCGTCGATAAACAGACCGTAAACGAGTCTGTTGTGATCAATCTGGGAAGGTTGATATATTATACATGATATAGTTCTCTTCTTTTATTTAATTTAAATTTAAATTAAATAGAAGAAGAGAACTATTTCATGTCTAATGTATCAACCTTCTTAATAAAACAAGAATTAGGATTGTCTCTGTAAAAGCATACATAAGAACTTTAATTATTAAATAGATTTTTGGAGTAGGAAAAAGCTAATCTTTCATTATCAAAATATCAGAATTAAAGAAAAGTTTGTCTGAGATTTCCCATCTCGTCATTTGCTTCTAGCATAATTTAACTAACTAACAATATTAATACATATAGATATATATATAATAATTAATTTTTTTCTTCTATTATTTACAATAAAATGACAAAAACAACATAACGATTAAATAGAGATTCATCGAAAGAAACAGCCCGACAAGTTTATTTTCGGCACCAAAGATATGTGTTTTTCTTTTATTGAAAGTCCGTATTGCATGGTGAAAAAATCATTTTGTATCCAAAAGAATTTACTCAATGCATGCAAAATTTCACGTTTCTTTCCCCAATCAATACTTTCCACAGCCCATATGGTATCAATAAAAGTATTTTCCAACGTACAGATCAGTGCATTTATATGTATATAATCAACACTAATTGATGATGCGCCACCTTTGTTTGTATGAATTTCTCCGACACGTGATAAATATTGAAGAAATGAATCGTTCCAATCAGATTGTGTTAATATTCGTCTTAGAAACACGCTTAACATATCTTTCCGATAATCAATTTGAACAGAATCTAATGTTAGACCGGTTTCTTTGTTTGGCGCAAACACTTCAAAACCATCATTACGCATAAGAAAATATTGTTTTGTGATATCAAATGAATATAATTTTTTATAGACTGTTTCAACCAAAGTTGGAAGAATTGGATTAATTATTGGTTCTAATGTATTAAGAATTTTAATATCCTCTTGTTTGAAGTCAATAAATTTTGAAACATATTTAAAACGATACGATAAATCAATGTTGAGTCGAGCTCTGTCGATATGCTCAGCCATTATGAGAATTTTAAAATGATCGCGGCCGCACATTTCTCTGCTTTTTCTTGAGCAGCTTATATATACTTTTTTCTTTCTCTATCTTTTATTTAAGAATTCTAGAGAAAAGCAATGAGTCGCATTCATGCACGATTATTATTAGTCGTCTTTATATGAGATGCTTGTCGAATACAAACGAAATGCAATCTTAATATAATAGTGTCAGTTATGTCATAAAATGGTTTTATTTCAAAATGATTTTCACTACTGCGATTATATTTATTCACCTTAGAGTTAAACCAAGAAAGTACTATCTATAATAATGAAGTATATCGTTAATTTTGTGTTTGGTTCGACCTACTAGTTTTTTTTGTTTAGGTAGAGAAACCTTATGGAAAACAAGGGAATACAAAACTTCTATAGTGATCTTGAACCCATTTTATTAGATTATCTCTTTTTTTTAGGGAATCAATTCTTTGTACTTGTATTTCAATCTTCATTTTTGAACTAGAAACTTATAATTAATTAAGATCAGAGACTATCAGCGAATGCGTTTCGAATACAGCGAACGAACATTGGGTGCACATATTTATCGAGTAAGCGTAAGCTCTCGAAATATGAATGCATATAATTATTTTCCCCTGACAAATACTCATATGAATTATTCAATGAAAATATATTAGTAGGTTAAAAATATGAATACTCGTGATGCATTTTTCTATAGAGCAGTGTCAAACGAAAAGAGAGTTAAGTTGAATAGTAAAATAAATGATATAAGCAAATGCAAAATATTAATAGTGCTCGTTTTGATGATTAACTTCATTTTTTGTTTTATCTATTTAGATCTAATGAATCTTTCATTGACAATGAGCTATTTTTGGCTTTCACAGAGAGCACACAGATTTTTTATTTCCGATTGTGTATTTCAACAATATAATTACGGCATAGAAATCAAAAGTATTCCCATATCCTATTAAAAATTGAGATAGAAATGCTCTACTAATCTTACTCTATTCAGAGCACTGCTGTCGATAGGTCACGCGAACCTCTGCTGTGAAACGTCTAATTTACTAATTTGTGAGCACATTCTTTATAGACACAAATGAAAATATGATGTGATGACGCATAACGAGGTACCTGAGCAACATTTCGGATCAGACATGTGAATAGAATGCCCTGCTGATATGTGAATCAATATATTCATACTGTCATATCGATATGTTCCCTAGAATTTTCTTCTCAGTCTTATAATGCAAACAATAGAAACTGAAATAATGGCAATGAATAGTTTTGTTTTTTTGATAGACTTTGCGTCGACGAATAAAATTTTTACTTGCATTTCTCATTTTATGACTGAGACTTAATCTTTATGTTGTGCGTCGTTTAAATATGAAAAGAAATATTATTGCTAATTATTGAATTCATCTATTTATAAATATTTCTATGCGCACGACTTTAGATTTGATGAGCATTCCTATTTAAATAAAGCAAATACAGTACCAACTACCGAATTAAAATGCAAACAAATGCGGGTTAGGTGCAAGTAGAATGCGCAATATGTAATAGTCAAATTGATATTTACAAATTTTGAAATTTTCAAGTCCGCTTGCCTTTTGTACTCCTATTTGATAAGAAATATCATTGTCAAGTATTTTAACTGTGTGAATATTTCTTATTTATCGTAACATTTCTACCGTAACAAATATGTATTTTTGGCTTAAAAGTGCTTCCGTTAGGCACATTACATTTGAACAATAGTTCAGTCACGAGAAATTAATTTATATTATTGATGCACTTTATCAAGCGTCATAAATGAGAAAAAGAAATAGAAAACCTAATTTTCTTTCTGAAACGGAAGACGGATATTTGCAAAGTTATTTTGACTGAATACTAAATCTTGACTGTTTTGCTATAACTATATAGTCTATGTGCCATTCAAATAATTTAATGATCGATGATAGATGTAGAAACAGGATAGTTTCTATAGTGTGATTTCATGATTTTTAAAATTCACAAGTGACGCATCTCACCCAGAGTTTTCGATAATCTCAGACCGACAATTCAATATAAGTTTTTTAAGACATCACTTAATTATAATCCTCTATTAGAATATATTAATAGCTTTAGGCTTAATATTCAATCGAGAGACAGAGATTGCTCTATTTATTTTGAGATTATTATAGCACGACTATACTCAGAAGAAAAACAAATCCTTCGGTTCGAAATAGATTGATTTTTTCACAAGTTTGATTGACGAAGGTGTTCGTTCAAATATGAAAAACTATTTTTATTGTTTTGATCTATCTCAGTAAATGATATCAATATCAGATCTAAATGCTGACATTCGAAAACTCTCTGGTGATCAAAATAATAGTCGAATTAATCATGAGAAGAAAGATCCGAGAAATTTACTAATTCATTTTTTTTCATTTACTTCACTCATGCAGTAGAAGATCTAGGTAAAAACGTTCATAAAATCAGCTGTTGACACTTTTGTTTAAAATAAATAGCGAACATCCTAATAAACAACTACTTATAGCTATCCATTAATGTCAATAGTGAAAGAATTTACGCTGAATTAGTCTTTTTAACCTGTAGTACTCATCAAAGCGATTGATAGGCTTTGTTGGTCTAAAATAAGTGCAAAGATTTCTATAAAAGACAATTAGAAACTACATGAATAAAATGTTTTTTTTAAATAGCTAACAAAAAACAATTTTCATAAATTTATCAAAAATCATTCGACCTTCACTAGCAACTCAATTATTTGCAAATGGATGAAACAAAAATGAGCGTAGCGTTCCTTTCAATCCATTGATGGCAATTGAACTTGTGAAATAACTATAGAGAATTCGGATTTATCGCTGGTTGCAATTATGATTTCTTTGCTCATTACCTAAAATGATACAATATAATTTCACTGCTGATTTTCATGTGATGAGGAACACTGTTTTTCCCTTGAACTCATCTCAACATTGCTTTCCATGATGGTAGTAATATTTGGAATTAAATAATGTTGCTTTAGATAGTGTCTTCTCGATTCTAGATGTAATAGTAATGATAACTTCAAGCAAAAAAATTAAATTTTTTTTAATCATTGTGTTGGACAACAAACCTAATAGTACACAAGGTACGGCTAGAACTTTTGGTAAAGATGATATTAAACATTTCTAAGTAACTAGGGGCTTCTATTGATAGAAAGATAAGAATTTTTTTAAACGACGGTGTAGGCTTTGTCACGATCATCTGAAGCATTTAACACCCTGTCATAATCATAAGCTTCCACCTCGATTTAACAACTTTACTTTTTCTACAGGCAAGATCAATGGCTATGAAAAATAGTGTAATAGAGTTACAACATGATAAAGTATCTCTTGAATGTAGAGACTTCAGTTAAAACAGATCATTATTACATCATTGATAGAGTGCTATCAGCGAATGCCTTTTGAACGATTATCCTATCTTTTAAATCTTCTAAAAAGAATGGCAACAAAAAAATACAAAAAAGTTTAAATCTGGATCAGTCGAATAATAATCTACAATGTCAGGAAGTATAATAATAGTTGGTGAAATACGTGTATTCATTTTTAGTCTTGCTGATCTGCTAGAAGTATGAATTAAATTCTAAAACAAAATGCTATAAAGAACGAAACCAACGAAGCGTTTATTCGAATTAGAAACAAAAACTATGTTCATTCTAGATAATTGTCGCAATATTATTAAAATTCCTTTCGTACGTACTGAAATCGATTAATTATAATTTCGTATGAAAATAATTAAATAGATAAAATTTCATACAAATCAAAGTATTTCAATAAAAAATATCTGAACTTGATATCGATAGGTACTCATTTTTGCATAATTTCGATGGAAATCTATTAATTAAATTTTATATTGCTTCAGTACAAACCGTTTTGAGCTTAGAAAAAGTATTTCAAGTAAAGTAGTCATTGATGTTTGCTCGCCTCTGCATTTGTTCTAAGCTAAGACAACTATGAATAGAACTCATATAAGACAATAGAGGCATAAGCATGATAATCCAACCGGTAATCTTTACTATTTGGTTTCTTTTTGGCTTCAATCTTTGGTGAACAACGTTTTATATACTATCATCCAAACGATTATGGACATTTTAACAATCTATTGTTTCATCTGCCAAGCAGCATCTGAGTATTCACATAGAATTTGGTTGTCGAGTAAAACTCGAATTTCATATAACTTTCACACATGTCTGTTTTTTGCAGAATGTTCCATATTGTTTCCCTTGTTGATTTATTCGCAATCAATAAATATATTTTCTTTTTGACGCCAGCAACTGCTATTAAAACCGGGTCAAATGCAGTAGTTTGTACGGCATACATTATGCATTAATCAATAAACGATTATTGCTATTGATACAATGCAAACGCTATTATCTAAAAGAAATAGCTTCATGATTCATTATTTTTGCAGAATGAAATAGCTGATTATATGTACGATGCTCGATTCTGATTGAGCTCGTTGCTGGAATAAATTAATAATTTTCAATAAGAATTATTTCGGTACAAATAGTTCGATCGATCAATGAGTGACATGTAAATTAATTGATTTGTTTATTGAAATAAATAAAACGCAATGTTTCAACATAGAGAATACAAGGAATTTTATTTCGTTTTATTAAAAAGGACGATGTGTTTGTTGTTTTGAATGAATATTTTGTACAGCATCATTTTTTTACTGTCGATCCATAATTCATTGTAAAGAAATCATTTTGTATCCAAAAAAATTTATTTACTGCTCGTATACTTAAACTTTTCTTTGGCCTATCCAGATTTTCCATATTCCATAATAAATCAATAAGAAGATTTTCTAAATATCCAAGTAAAGTATTTACATGCATATAATCAATATGTGTTGATTCTGTACGATCGGATTCTGTATGAATTTCACCGATTTGTGATAAATATTGAAGAAATTTATCGTTCCATTCTGTTTGAATAAAAACTCGTTTTAAATACATACTTAACATATCCTTACGAAAATCAGTTTTTGTTGATATAATAGTAGCGTCTGTGTCTTCGTTGAATGGGAAACTTTCGAAATTACCAGAACGCATATAAAAAGATTGTTTTGTTATGTCAAATGAATTAAATTTTTTATAAACGGCTTCAACAAGAGATGGAATACGTGGAAATATAATCGGTACCAGTGCATTGAGACATGCTATGTCGTCTTTAGTAAAATTAAGAAATTTTGATACATAATCAAAACGATAACGAAGATTATTATTCAGACATATTTTATCGATATGTTCAGCCATGATTCCCAGCGCACGATGTACTTAATATGTATCTAAAACATGAATATACAATAAAAGAAACCTTTAGAATCTTGTTTAATAAATGATTTCCTTCCGTTTCTTTTTCTATGAACAGTAATGAATTTTTAAAAAAGTTTGGCAAGCAGAAGACATTGATAGATTCACATGGCTTAATAATGCTATAGAACGGCAGTTACTACGCTGAAAGTGGTTACAACAAAATAAATCAGCGCGAAAAAAACCTGCTTATGAACTAATATCAAAGGTAAACTTCGTTTTTAGTTACCCATGTCAATGGGACACTTGAAAACAATGTTGTTAATATAGAAAAGAAAGTATACTCGAATATGAAGTGCGAAAAGAAAATGTCACTGCGAATTATTTAGATTGTTGTAGTTTTATGTATGCTACATTCATTTTCATAGAGACTATAAAATGCGCCATTAGCTTTTGGGGATACGATGATGCTCTTTTTAAAACTATCACGTTATCTTTATTCTATAGTCATTTTTTTCCTGAGAAAATTTATCTATGCAAGATTTACTACAACTAGAAAATTATTTCTATATTCAGAGTAATAGAAATTAATTTTAGGTTTTAATCTCGACTAGGGGTGGCACTTTCCTTCCCTTTGCTTTCAAAAAGGAAAGGAAAGGAAAGCCAACACTTTTCTTTCCAAAAAGAAAGGAAAGCTTTCTGACTTTCAACCTTCATTTCAAAAAAAGAAAGGAAAGGAAAGTTAAAACCTTCTTTTCCTTTTTTCGTCGTCTAGAAGATAGAATTATGTTTCTTGTTGACTTCCAATTTCAAAAAATTAGGAAAAGTCGAACGAAACGAAAAAGGGAAAAGAAAGTTGTATTTATTTGTTTGTCAAGGAATTTACTCTTGTTGATGGGAAAATTCTGTACAAACTTACTCTTTCAAATTGACCCGTGATATTTCCACAGAAAAAGAATTCAGTTTTTGGTAGATCCATAGGATAATTTTAACCTTTAATAAGAATAAAACACCGATACTAGTAAGGTACCGACAATGTAAAATTACAGTAGAATTTTGTTTTCTTTTTTTATATACGTATGGTCAGATAGATAGAGTGTGTCGAGCTGATCAAGAATATATGTTGTCATCTTTTTGTCGAATCAGCTTTTAGTGGAAAATTTTCAATTTTTTTCATTTGTTTTAAATTTAATACAGTTTGTTTTATATTCAGCATAAAAAAGAAATCTACGGTAGTCATTTATAAATGACTACCGTAGATTTCTTTTTTATGCTGAATATAAAACAAACTGTATTAAATTTAAAACAAATGAAAAAAATTGAAAATTTTCCACTAAAAGCTGATTCGACAAAAAGATGACAACATATATTCTTGATCAGCTCGACACACTCTATCTATCTGACCATACGTATATAAAAAAAGAAAACAAAATTCTACTGTAATTTTACATTGTCGGTACCTTACTAGTATCGGTGTTTTATTCTTATTAAAGGTTAAAATTATCCTATGGATCTACCAAAAACTGAATTCTTTTTCTGTGGAAATATCACGGGTCAATTTGAAAGAGTAAGTTTGTACAGAATTTTCCCATCAACAAGAGTAAATTCCTTGACAAACAAATAAATACAACTTTCTTTTCCCTTTTTCGTTTCGTTCGACTTTTCCTAATTTTTTGAAATTGGAAGTCAACAAGAAACATAATTCTATCTTCTAGACGACGAAAAAAGGAAAAGAAGGTTTTAACTTTCCTTTCCTTTCTTTTTTTGAAATGAAGGTTGAAAGTCAGAAAGCTTTCCTTTCTTTTTGGAAAGAAAAGTGTTGGCTTTCCTTTCCTTTCCTTTTTGAAAGCAAAGGGAAGGAAAGTGCCACCCCTAGTCGAGATTAAAACCTAAAATTAATTTCTATTACTCTGAATATAGAAATAATTTTCTAGTTGTAGTAAATCTTGCATAGATAAATTTTCTCAGGAAAAAAATGACTATAGAATAAAGATAACGTGATAGTTTTAAAAAGAGCATCATCGTATCCCCAAAAGCTAATGGCGCATTTTATAGTCTCTATGAAAATGAATGTAGCATACATAAAACTACAACAATCTAAATAATTCGCAGTGACATTTTCTTTTCGCACTTCATATTCGAGTATACTTTCTTTTCTATATTAACAACATTGTTTTCAAGTGTCCCATTGACATGGGTAACTAAAAACGAAGTTTACCTTTGATATTAGTTCATAAGCAGGTTTTTTTCGCGCTGATTTATTTTGTTGTAACCACTTTCAGCGTAGTAACTGCCGTTCTATAGCATTATTAAGCCATGTGAATCTATCAATGTCTTCTGCTTGCCAAACTTTTTTAAAAATTCATTACTGTTCATAGAAAAAGAAACGGAAGGAAATCATTTATTAAACAAGATTCTAAAGGTTTCTTTTATTGTATATTCATGTTTTAGATACATATTAAGTACATCGTGCGCTGGGAATCATGGCTGAACATATCGATAAAATATGTCTGAATAATAATCTTCGTTATCGTTTTGATTATGTATCAAAATTTCTTAATTTTACTAAAGACGACATAGCATGTCTCAATGCACTGGTACCGATTATATTTCCACGTATTCCATCTCTTGTTGAAGCCGTTTATAAAAAATTTAATTCATTTGACATAACAAAACAATCTTTTTATATGCGTTCTGGTAATTTCGAAAGTTTCCCATTCAACGAAGACACAGACGCTACTATTATATCAACAAAAACTGATTTTCGTAAGGATATGTTAAGTATGTATTTAAAACGAGTTTTTATTCAAACAGAATGGAACGATAAATTTCTTCAATATTTATCACAAATCGGTGAAATTCATACAGAATCCGATCGTACAGAATCAACACATATTGATTATATGCATGTAAATACTTTACTTGGATATTTAGAAAATCTTCTTATTGATTTATTATGGAATATGGAAAATCTGGATAGGCCAAAGAAAAGTTTAAGTATACGAGCAGTAAATAAATTTTTTTGGATACAAAATGATTTCTTTACAATGAATTATGGATCGACAGTAAAAAAATGATGCTGTACAAAATATTCATTCAAAACAACAAACACATCGTCCTTTTTAATAAAACGAAATAAAATTCCTTGTATTCTCTATGTTGAAACATTGCGTTTTATTTATTTCAATAAACAAATCAATTAATTTACATGTCACTCATTGATCGATCGAACTATTTGTACCGAAATAATTCTTATTGAAAATTATTAATTTATTCCAGCAACGAGCTCAATCAGAATCGAGCATCGTACATATAATCAGCTATTTCATTCTGCAAAAATAATGAATCATGAAGCTATTTCTTTTAGATAATAGCGTTTGCATTGTATCAATAGCAATAATCGTTTATTGATTAATGCATAATGTATGCCGTACAAACTACTGCATTTGACCCGGTTTTAATAGCAGTTGCTGGCGTCAAAAAGAAAATATATTTATTGATTGCGAATAAATCAACAAGGGAAACAATATGGAACATTCTGCAAAAAACAGACATGTGTGAAAGTTATATGAAATTCGAGTTTTACTCGACAACCAAATTCTATGTGAATACTCAGATGCTGCTTGGCAGATGAAACAATAGATTGTTAAAATGTCCATAATCGTTTGGATGATAGTATATAAAACGTTGTTCACCAAAGATTGAAGCCAAAAAGAAACCAAATAGTAAAGATTACCGGTTGGATTATCATGCTTATGCCTCTATTGTCTTATATGAGTTCTATTCATAGTTGTCTTAGCTTAGAACAAATGCAGAGGCGAGCAAACATCAATGACTACTTTACTTGAAATACTTTTTCTAAGCTCAAAACGGTTTGTACTGAAGCAATATAAAATTTAATTAATAGATTTCCATCGAAATTATGCAAAAATGAGTACCTATCGATATCAAGTTCAGATATTTTTTATTGAAATACTTTGATTTGTATGAAATTTTATCTATTTAATTATTTTCATACGAAATTATAATTAATCGATTTCAGTACGTACGAAAGGAATTTTAATAATATTGCGACAATTATCTAGAATGAACATAGTTTTTGTTTCTAATTCGAATAAACGCTTCGTTGGTTTCGTTCTTTATAGCATTTTGTTTTAGAATTTAATTCATACTTCTAGCAGATCAGCAAGACTAAAAATGAATACACGTATTTCACCAACTATTATTATACTTCCTGACATTGTAGATTATTATTCGACTGATCCAGATTTAAACTTTTTTGTATTTTTTTGTTGCCATTCTTTTTAGAAGATTTAAAAGATAGGATAATCGTTCAAAAGGCATTCGCTGATAGCACTCTATCAATGATGTAATAATGATCTGTTTTAACTGAAGTCTCTACATTCAAGAGATACTTTATCATGTTGTAACTCTATTACACTATTTTTCATAGCCATTGATCTTGCCTGTAGAAAAAGTAAAGTTGTTAAATCGAGGTGGAAGCTTATGATTATGACAGGGTGTTAAATGCTTCAGATGATCGTGACAAAGCCTACACCGTCGTTTAAAAAAATTCTTATCTTTCTATCAATAGAAGCCCCTAGTTACTTAGAAATGTTTAATATCATCTTTACCAAAAGTTCTAGCCGTACCTTGTGTACTATTAGGTTTGTTGTCCAACACAATGATTAAAAAAAATTTAATTTTTTTGCTTGAAGTTATCATTACTATTACATCTAGAATCGAGAAGACACTATCTAAAGCAACATTATTTAATTCCAAATATTACTACCATCATGGAAAGCAATGTTGAGATGAGTTCAAGGGAAAAACAGTGTTCCTCATCACATGAAAATCAGCAGTGAAATTATATTGTATCATTTTAGGTAATGAGCAAAGAAATCATAATTGCAACCAGCGATAAATCCGAATTCTCTATAGTTATTTCACAAGTTCAATTGCCATCAATGGATTGAAAGGAACGCTACGCTCATTTTTGTTTCATCCATTTGCAAATAATTGAGTTGCTAGTGAAGGTCGAATGATTTTTGATAAATTTATGAAAATTGTTTTTTGTTAGCTATTTAAAAAAAACATTTTATTCATGTAGTTTCTAATTGTCTTTTATAGAAATCTTTGCACTTATTTTAGACCAACAAAGCCTATCAATCGCTTTGATGAGTACTACAGGTTAAAAAGACTAATTCAGCGTAAATTCTTTCACTATTGACATTAATGGATAGCTATAAGTAGTTGTTTATTAGGATGTTCGCTATTTATTTTAAACAAAAGTGTCAACAGCTGATTTTATGAACGTTTTTACCTAGATCTTCTACTGCATGAGTGAAGTAAATGAAAAAAAATGAATTAGTAAATTTCTCGGATCTTTCTTCTCATGATTAATTCGACTATTATTTTGATCACCAGAGAGTTTTCGAATGTCAGCATTTAGATCTGATATTGATATCATTTACTGAGATAGATCAAAACAATAAAAATAGTTTTTCATATTTGAACGAACACCTTCGTCAATCAAACTTGTGAAAAAATCAATCTATTTCGAACCGAAGGATTTGTTTTTCTTCTGAGTATAGTCGTGCTATAATAATCTCAAAATAAATAGAGCAATCTCTGTCTCTCGATTGAATATTAAGCCTAAAGCTATTAATATATTCTAATAGAGGATTATAATTAAGTGATGTCTTAAAAAACTTATATTGAATTGTCGGTCTGAGATTATCGAAAACTCTGGGTGAGATGCGTCACTTGTGAATTTTAAAAATCATGAAATCACACTATAGAAACTATCCTGTTTCTACATCTATCATCGATCATTAAATTATTTGAATGGCACATAGACTATATAGTTATAGCAAAACAGTCAAGATTTAGTATTCAGTCAAAATAACTTTGCAAATATCCGTCTTCCGTTTCAGAAAGAAAATTAGGTTTTCTATTTCTTTTTCTCATTTATGACGCTTGATAAAGTGCATCAATAATATAAATTAATTTCTCGTGACTGAACTATTGTTCAAATGTAATGTGCCTAACGGAAGCACTTTTAAGCCAAAAATACATATTTGTTACGGTAGAAATGTTACGATAAATAAGAAATATTCACACAGTTAAAATACTTGACAATGATATTTCTTATCAAATAGGAGTACAAAAGGCAAGCGGACTTGAAAATTTCAAAATTTGTAAATATCAATTTGACTATTACATATTGCGCATTCTACTTGCACCTAACCCGCATTTGTTTGCATTTTAATTCGGTAGTTGGTACTGTATTTGCTTTATTTAAATAGGAATGCTCATCAAATCTAAAGTCGTGCGCATAGAAATATTTATAAATAGATGAATTCAATAATTAGCAATAATATTTCTTTTCATATTTAAACGACGCACAACATAAAGATTAAGTCTCAGTCATAAAATGAGAAATGCAAGTAAAAATTTTATTCGTCGACGCAAAGTCTATCAAAAAAACAAAACTATTCATTGCCATTATTTCAGTTTCTATTGTTTGCATTATAAGACTGAGAAGAAAATTCTAGGGAACATATCGATATGACAGTATGAATATATTGATTCACATATCAGCAGGGCATTCTATTCACATGTCTGATCCGAAATGTTGCTCAGGTACCTCGTTATGCGTCATCACATCATATTTTCATTTGTGTCTATAAAGAATGTGCTCACAAATTAGTAAATTAGACGTTTCACAGCAGAGGTTCGCGTGACCTATCGACAGCAGTGCTCTGAATAGAGTAAGATTAGTAGAGCATTTCTATCTCAATTTTTAATAGGATATGGGAATACTTTTGATTTCTATGCCGTAATTATATTGTTGAAATACACAATCGGAAATAAAAAATCTGTGTGCTCTCTGTGAAAGCCAAAAATAGCTCATTGTCAATGAAAGATTCATTAGATCTAAATAGATAAAACAAAAAATGAAGTTAATCATCAAAACGAGCACTATTAATATTTTGCATTTGCTTATATCATTTATTTTACTATTCAACTTAACTCTCTTTTCGTTTGACACTGCTCTATAGAAAAATGCATCACGAGTATTCATATTTTTAACCTACTAATATATTTTCATTGAATAATTCATATGAGTATTTGTCAGGGGAAAATAATTATATGCATTCATATTTCGAGAGCTTACGCTTACTCGATAAATATGTGCACCCAATGTTCGTTCGCTGTATTCGAAACGCATTCGCTGATAGTCTCTGATCTTAATTAATTATAAGTTTCTAGTTCAAAAATGAAGATTGAAATACAAGTACAAAGAATTGATTCCCTAAAAAAAAGAGATAATCTAATAAAATGGGTTCAAGATCACTATAGAAGTTTTGTATTCCCTTGTTTTCCATAAGGTTTCTCTACCTAAACAAAAAAAACTAGTAGGTCGAACCAAACACAAAATTAACGATATACTTCATTATTATAGATAGTACTTTCTTGGTTTAACTCTAAGGTGAATAAATATAATCGCAGTAGTGAAAATCATTTTGAAATAAAACCATTTTATGACATAACTGACACTATTATATTAAGATTGCATTTCGTTTGTATTCGACAAGCATCTCATATAAAGACGACTAATAATAATCGTGCATGAATGCGACTCATTGCTTTTCTCTAGAATTCTTAAATAAAAGATAGAGAAAGAAAAAAGTATATATAAGCTGCTCAAGAAAAAGCAGAGAAATGTGCGGCCGCGATCATTTTAAAATTCTCATAATGGCTGAGCATATCGACAGAGCTCGACTCAACATTGATTTATCGTATCGTTTTAAATATGTTTCAAAATTTATTGACTTCAAACAAGAGGATATTAAAATTCTTAATACATTAGAACCAATAATTAATCCAATTCTTCCAACTTTGGTTGAAACAGTCTATAAAAAATTATATTCATTTGATATCACAAAACAATATTTTCTTATGCGTAATGATGGTTTTGAAGTGTTTGCGCCAAACAAAGAAACCGGTCTAACATTAGATTCTGTTCAAATTGATTATCGGAAAGATATGTTAAGCGTGTTTCTAAGACGAATATTAACACAATCTGATTGGAACGATTCATTTCTTCAATATTTATCACGTGTCGGAGAAATTCATACAAACAAAGGTGGCGCATCATCAATTAGTGTTGATTATATACATATAAATGCACTGATCTGTACGTTGGAAAATACTTTTATTGATACCATATGGGCTGTGGAAAGTATTGATTGGGGAAAGAAACGTGAAATTTTGCATGCATTGAGTAAATTCTTTTGGATACAAAATGATTTTTTCACCATGCAATACGGACTTTCAATAAAAGAAAAACACATATCTTTGGTGCCGAAAATAAACTTGTCGGGCTGTTTCTTTCGATGAATCTCTATTTAATCGTTATGTTGTTTTTGTCATTTTATTGTAAATAATAGAAGAAAAAAATTAATTATTATATATATATCTATATGTATTAATATTGTTAGTTAGTTAAATTATGCTAGAAGCAAATGACGAGATGGGAAATCTCAGACAAACTTTTCTTTAATTCTGATATTTTGATAATGAAAGATTAGCTTTTTCCTACTCCAAAAATCTATTTAATAATTAAAGTTCTTATGTATGCTTTTACAGAGACAATCCTAATTCTTGTTTTATTAAGAAGGTTGATACATTAGACATGAAATAGTTCTCTTCTTCTATTTAATTTAAATTTAAATTAAATAAAAGAAGAGAACTATATCATGTATAATATATCAACCTTCCCAGATTGATCACAACAGACTCGTTTACGGTCTGTTTATCGACGGTAAACGATGTCAAAACGGTATATTTACGGCAATAAATAGGCCGTATTTGCCCGTAATACCTGGCACAGTAATACGGCACCGTAGACGGGACTGAATTTGCATGGTTTACGACTGTTTGTGCTCGGTACTCTCATGATCATACGGTCCGTATTACTGCGTCAGATATTACGGCAAACTTCCACCCGGAAAGTAGTCATTAATTAACCGCAAACGGCCGTATACGGCCCGTACTATTCGATCTGGGTTCCCATGTTGTATAAAACGATTCGTTAACGGCCATAAACGACGAAAAAATGGCAGCCGTTGCAATGACCAGTAACGAAGCATCGGAAAACGATGTGATAAGGCGAAAAATGGTGGCCTTTTAAGTGGCAGTTTTTGTATTGTCGGAAACGACTACCTCCTAAGGCGAACGTTATTTTGCCGTTTTGCATCTCTTTTATTTTTAGATATAAATATGGGTAAAACACATACTTAGACACTGTCGCTCAACCTATTATATTCATTTTATTTTATTTTATTGTAATCCATTGTAGTTTATTTTATTTTATTTATTTAGTGTTATTTAGTGTTATTTATATTATTTTATTTTTTAGATTACTGTATTTTATCTATTTATTTTATCTTATTTTAGTCTATTATTTTTCACTTTTTAGAATTTTAGTTCTTTTATTTTATGCATTTTATTTTATTGTATTTGATTTGATTTTGAGAAATAAAATATAAATGACCAATGTAACACTCATTTTAAACTACAAAACGGCGTGATTGAGAGGATAAAGGACGAAAATAGAGTCCTTTTATCACTCGACCTTTTTCATCGGAAAAGGCCTTAAACGATGTCGTTAACGTTTCGAGAAAAAATGCTCCGTAATCTGAGCTGACGGAAAACGGTGGTCGTTTTTCATCATTTAGGACATTAATTACACCGTTTCTTGACCGTTTCAGGCAGTTGAATGCAATCTTTCAGGCGGTCCGAATGATGGACTTGGGTTCTTAACAAAACAAGAATTCAAAAACCTCTATGGATAGAGAATTTATATCATTACACACTGTTTGGAAAAATTATACAAGAAAACAACAATAGAAACACAAAACATTAGATTTCTTGTACAATTAAAATAACATAACGTAATACCAAATGTGTTCAAATTAAAGAACAACACAAATTTGAATAAAAATGAAAAATTATTAAGACAAACTATGTACAAAATTAGGAACAACACATTACAACATAAACAAAAGCAATTAAGATATATTATATAATATTGAAATTAATACGCAAAACTCAATATTAAATCATTATTTTAAAACATCGCAACCAACACGACGACATCAAGATAATCTGAGATGGATAAATAAATTTAATGAAAATTTTGAAAATAAATTAATAAAAAAGCACGATAAGAAAATAAAAACATTAAAAGAAAACCAAGTGCAACAACAATCACCAAAACCACAAACAAAAACGATGAATTCAAAGATAACATATGATACATCAAATGTTACTATAATATATTAAAAACTCATTGAAGTCAATAACAATTAAAAGTACTATCAAAAGGGTTAAAATTTGTTCCAAAACCGAGATCAATTAATACAATAACAACTGTGGTAAATTGTGAAAAATCATTATTCTCAACATCAAAATTAATAAAGTGCAGCAATATCAGAAATATCAACATTTATTCAAAAATGGAGAAAACCTACTAAATTTAACATGAATAAAGAGGAAACAAAATTATTAAAAGAAACAAAATCTAAAAAAAGATATTGTCATAGTTCAAACTGATAAAGATGGGAAAATAGTTATTATGAACTAGAGGTGTCGGGTTAGCATTAAAAGTGAAAATAATACATTGCTTTATTTCTCCAGGAAAGTTGATGAATAATAAATCTTTAGAATTAAAAGTAATATCGGTGTTAAGAATGATAAATTAGTGAATAAATTAGCATTAAGTATTTTCTTTATCATAATACGCCAATGCATTATTTTCATTTTTAATGCTAACCTGACACCTCTATTATGAACAAAAACGACTATTTTAATAAAATTGAAGAAAAATAAAATGATCTGAATGCTTATGAACAAATCGAAAAAGATCCAACAACAATAATTAAAACTGAAATCAATAAAAAGATTACCAAGATGTTAAATCAAAACACATACTATTTAACATCAATCGATGATCTTCCTAAAATTTGTGGTCAACCTAAACTACATAAAATTGATATTCCGATGAGAATTGTTACTTTTTCGAGAGATACAATAACATCACCAATATCTCAATTCATATTCAGAATAATTAAAAGAATTAAGAACAACATTAAGCGACGTGGTATGTAATAAATGAAATTTTATCAAAATTATTGCAGATGCTAAATTAAATCAAGACGAACATTTAGCGAGTCTTGATATTCAAGATTTATATGCAAACATACCAGTCAGCAAAGCCATCGATATTACATTAAAACGGCTTGATGAATCTAAGAAATTGGACAATTTACTATTTACCAAAACTGATGTTAAAGAACTACTAATTCTAGCGTTAAAGAACAGTTATTTTCAATTTAATGGTAAATTCTACAAACAAAAAACAGGTTTACTTATGGGTAATACATTATCACCAATATTAGCCGACATATACATGGATGAATATCAAAAACAACATTTACATGAAGTAAACATTCCAAATAAAATATGGCAATATGTTGATGACATTCTAATCATTACAAAAATGAATAAACCACAAATGGAATAAATGTGTATATGGTTTAAATAAAATACGTGGAACAAATAAATTTTCCTCAGAATTCGAACAAAATGATCAAATAAATTATCTTGATACAATGTTAACAAAAACGATAATAAATAATGAAATAATACTTAAAATTAGATGGTTCCGAAAAGATACACCTGCAGATAGGCTATTAAACTATGAATCAAGCCATGGAAAATCCATCAAAAATAACATCGTTGAAATATGATTACACGGATTTTAGAAACAACTCAAGACAACAAAGATCAATCCAGGTCGACTGATCCGACATCGGATCCGATAGGAACCTGGAAGTATCCTACAATCCGATACAATTCTATTGGATTCTGGGTCGAGTGATCGATGTCGGATCCTCAGTGTCGGAATCCTACGAACTTCCGATGACATACAACGGTTTTTCCTTGGAATTCATAAGAATCCGACATCAATTCCTCGACCCGGAATCCAATGATAATTCTGTAAGATCAGGCAGGATCCGATAAAATCCTATTGGATTCCAGTCGGATCGGATGGGTTCCGATAGGTACCTACTATCGGATTGCTCGACCTGGGAACAAGAGGATTTAAATAAGTTAAGAAACATGTTATTAAAATCAAATGATCCATTAAAAGAAATTGAAAAATTAATTAAACAAACATGACAAGAATTTAAATCAAATAAAAAGAAGTCCAATGATAAAAACGATGATATAGCCGGTCAGATTAAAGATGCAAACAATGATGAATTTATTTGTAGTTTAAGACAGATTACTATATGTTCCTGGTATGGAAGTTCTTAAAAGAAGACTCGATAAGAAATTAAAATTAAATTGTTCTTTTCCTATCCATACAAACTACAATCACAATTTAATCAATCATTAAAATTTCCATCAATATCTGTTATATATCATATTCCGTGCTCATGTAAAGAAACCTATGTTGGACAAACAAAAGTAGGTATAGATAATCGTATGAAACAACATTCAAAAGCTATAAATGATAATGAAAATAATAGTAATTCAGAAATGATTAAACATTTTCAAGAAAAGAAATTGCAATGTCTATTTGATACAAATGATACATTTGTAATTGAAGAAGAAAAATATTATTGGAAAAGACGCACAAAAGAAGCAATATACTCAATAATAAGTGAGTCAGTAAATGCACATGATGAAATTAATGCAGCAGGGGCACCAATAGTACATAAAGCAAAACGTCTCATTCAACGAAAGATCGAATGAGTTCGAGAAAATTACATCAAATACAGCAGACCTACAGCCTAACGAAAAACGAGACAGTGACAATGATACGGAAAAGGATTCAATCCTCAGCTAGCTATTACTATTACGTCTTGTTTTCCGTATCACTATCAAAGTATGACTAATACTGAAAGAAAAGAAAAAATTGTTTGTATGTATATATGTCATTTTGTCTTAAATTTTCATGTCTGATGAAGTATCTTATCGAGATATGAAACGTCACAATTTATAAATTTTAAATTTAAATAAATAAACTATAAGATCAAATCAAATTAAATTGATTTAAATTTTAAATGAAATAAAAGAGAAATAAATCATGTCTAAGAGATAATATTAGTATCATGAGAAATAATTCCTAGTCTGTGACAATATACATATTATTAGTTAATTAATACTTGAGTATGAAAGTTTCTAGTGGCATATATTTCAAGTGTTACGAAAGAATGCCACATTGATCTCCTACGGAAGGAAACTCGACCGGAAAAAATACTTTCTACGTAATTGGTAACTCATTCTGACGTGAATTAGATAAGATTTGTATTTATAATCCAGTCGGATCAAATACTTCTCCAAATATTGTCTATCTATTCAATTAGAATTCCAAAGAAACGCACAAGTGAATTTCTAAATATTTCTTCAGCGTGAAAAAAAGTTCCCATTATCTTTATACTTACTTATTTTAAAAACCTAAAATATTGCTTCTAGTCCATTAAGAAAAAACTCGACTAGAATGCAAAAAAAGAAAAAAAGTGATCTTTGTATATCCCATGTAAAACAAGATCGTAAAAAATCTGATTATGAATCCAATTTTTTTTCACATGAGTACTCATTCCAAAGAATAAAATTATTTATGAATGACCCTATTAAATATTATAAAATTAAGTACAGAAAGTCATAATTATCTCGCTCAAATGAGTATAAAATTTAAATCTATATGCTAGATATTGTGAAAGAAAACTAAGGTTCGTTTTTGCGTGTTGACAACTCATCTAATTAATATTTTTCCTTTCAAATGCACATCCAGATGAAGTATTTCTCAGGTCTTCTTTTCTGATTGACATCGACTAAGTTAGTTGATATAATAATATTATGTCAGTCAGCATCTGTACTGTGTCGATATTAAATAGAATAGTATTCTAAATGCCATATAGTCTTTGGTTTTCGACAGTCTGTTATTTTGTGTAGTAAATTTGTCCTTGATATTGAATAGGTTAAGGCTACAAAAGAAAAATCGTGAATTTTGTTTAGTAAATGTTTTTTTAAACATTTTATTACGCCTTAATAATATTAATTTATTGTAAATGACTTTCAACATTGAGAACTCACTAACGACATGTTGTCTACCTTATTTTATTTTATTTTATTTTATTAATATTATCGTTATAAAGGCAATGCCCTGTGTAGACATTTTTATTAAATAGGAGCTTTGTTTTTTTCTTCAGTTTAATTACTATGCAAATAACAGTTTTTAATAAGATCATTTTACGTAGTGTTTATTATTTTTATAACCAGAAACAATTGATTACATACCTAAATGTAAATCGAAACATCGTTTTCATTAAAAAAATATTCACTGAATAAAATAGTAATGATAATGTAACGCATATACATATTGATTCAATAATTAGATTCATTTTCTACAGCAAAATGTTCCGTCTTTATAAAACTTTTGTCTTGTTACAGTCGCTGACTAGTAACATTCATTGATGCGTATCAAACAATTGGATTACACAAGAATATAGTTCCGTGTTTCACGGCTTCGCTATTCTTTGTAGTATTGATTGTTCTTTTCTCTCCTATAGAAATTATTTCTGCAGCGCATTGCCACCACTGTGTCCTCCTATGGCATGAGTGAATCAACAGGCATTTCTCCGAGCGGAAATTCTAATGAAAAATACTAGTAGATTATAGAGTACTGATTGATGTGCTATATAGAACGATGCTGCATTAGAAATCATGCATAATAAAACATCATCTTTCTCTCTGTGGCGCATCTCGCACCAGAGAGAAAGAAAAAGAGAAACAAAGAGGAGAGACAGCGAGAAAAAACAACGCGTAAAAATCCGAGAGAAACAAAACTATTTGGTGCTAAAGCATTTTTCTTTCTCACAAATGGCCGAACATATTGATGCTAATCGAATTCATTTGGATCTTCGATATCGTTTTGATTATTTATCGAAGTTTCTTAATTTTACTTCGGACGACATAGCTATGCTAAACACATTTGCGCCTCTTGTTTTTCCTCTTATTCCAGTTTTGACCGACACAGTGTATAGAAAATTATTTTCATTTGATATAACAAAACAATATTTTCTTAAGCGTAATGAAGGTTTCGAAGGATTCCTACCGGAAAAGAACTGTGGAGTGACATTAGACTCAGCACAAATGGAACTTCGACGAGATATGTTAAGTATGTATTTAAAACGTATATTAACACAACGCGATTGGAACGATACATTTCTTCAATATCTATCGCAAATTGGTAAAATTCATACAGATCAAGCTGGTTCAGCATCGATTAATGTTGATTATATGCATATAAATGCTCTTCTTGGATATTTAGAACATTTACTTATCGATGTTTTATGTACCACTGATACAATCGATGAGAAAACAAAGCGTGGAATTTTAATGGCAGTGAATAAACTTTTTTGGATACAAAATGATTTTTTTACCATGCATTATTTAATATCGGTAAAAAATAGTACACTATCGGGAAAAACATCTGAAACTGAAAAAACAACCAAATGTTGTTGGCTATAGAAAAAGCAAGAAATACGAAATAATTTGTTCTGTATCCAGTATTTTGTCATCAAAGTTATTTCATATGTTGTGAATAAATAATGCAATTCGCAAGATATTAAGAACAAGGTGTGCTTGTTTGTTTGTTTTTAACTTGTATTATTTTAAATTTGTCTTAAAAAACACTTCTCCTTTTGTAAATACTAAATTGATTTTTCATATGCTAATGAAACTGGTTAAATCGAAGATTTTCTCTTGTGTCGACAATTATTTGTTGTAAATTAATTATCGATCTGAAAAAAAATTTCATATTCAATTTCGTTTTTGTTGTTGTTTTTCGACAAAAACGTCCTTCATCCTCTCCCTCTCGTTAGTTCACTTTATCTATTTATATATAATTAATTACTTATTTACCGTTTATGACTCTTGTAACGCCTTGATAAGAATCAGAGACGCAACTAATAAAAATGCCAGTTGCCACAGTATTGGTTATGGCGGAATGACAGCAATGGAAATTAAATAGTATTGAATATTGAATATTGAATGAAGATCCAATAGTTTATTCAATGAACAGACATAGTTGAGAATAAGAAGAGCTCCACAAGCAAGTTGCTAACACGAGTTGGAACGATTGTAAGGGATAATCGAGTTAGATTGATTGTAAGGAATAATCAAGTTGAAAAAAAGGTAACATGCAATTAATCAAAAAGATGATTCTTTTTGATATAGCAGAAAAATAGTAGTCAGAGAAGATACGCTCGAATGATGAATGAATGAGTATAGGTATATCTCAGTGAATATATATATATATATATATGATGAAGTTTGAAGAAAAAAAGAGAGGGAAGCCAGAAAAAGAAACAAACAAGCACCAAGATAACATCAGTGACGTTTGTGCCGTCGTCATACCCCTTTCAAGAAAGTAGAAGAGTAGGTTAAGCAATTAAATTTGTTTGCTTAATATAGTTTAGTACGTAAAATCCTTCACGAGAGGTATTCTTCGGGGCTATGCCAAAATGTTTTCTAAAGTTCAAAAATAAATTACACAGCAGAGTTGTCTTTGTTTGTCCGCGAGGTCATATTGTGTGTTTTTAATATATTGCTGAGATCGGAACTGCAGAGTCATTTTAAAAAAATACAACAATTTGTTTCAGTCGGGAAGCATTGGCTTCCTTCGACTCATACTGTTCGGAAATTATGTTAGACAAGGACTTGTGATTTTTCTAATTAATTATCCAAATCCTACTGTTGTGATTTAGATATTCATGAAGCCTTCACTCGAATATAAACTATGGCTAAAAAAATCATAATATGGATTCTATCTGATAACAAAAAAAATAAATAAATCATGATTACACGAAAGCAGATGGCTGAGAAAGCTTATGATAGAAGTCATAGTATGGATTACGTCCATCATATATTTTACCTATTTTTATAAGTGAAAAAGGCTATCCGCTTGCAATAATTTATTTTTGTTTTTTTCCTGTAATTACCAATATCGGCTTTTCTTCTTGTCTATCAACGATAGACGAAAACAAACCAGTAGTATGGAGACAACATGTATATCGCATTGATCATTGAATACAGAAAAAATACGTACTTTAAGTTCCTGATGCGACGGTACTACACAACGGAGAAATAAATTTGCTTTGGGCATATGAAAGTTTGTTAACAATAGATTCCATGAATTACAATTGATAACCTATTATCACATATTTTGAACTTTGAAGATTCTACATTCATCCGTCAGCAATAAACAAAAACAATGCACTCGGAAATTGTTTTACTTCTAGTAACATCCGAAGGAGTCATTGCAGATGCTATCCTAGGATTTTTTCTATTAAGAGCCCTTAAAATTTTGACCAAATTTTCCTTAGATATCAAACTCTTCAATAGATGTAAGATTTCGGATTAGTATAATCCTACGTGAATTTTTTTCCGTATTATTGGCTTGTGCAGGCCTCAAGATTTGTGCATAGTGCATGGTCTTCTTGCTCTATAAGCTCAAGAAACGAATGCACACGAACAAAACGGCTCTACTAAGGAGGATTATTCCGATAGCAGAAAGTTAGATATCAAAGTCATGACTCCATTGACGATTCAATCCTTTCGATACTTTTATTAGAATATTGTATAGTATCTTTAGGCAAAAGTTTATTGTAACCAGAGCTGGGCAAATAAGAGATTTTTCAAGTCACAAGTCAAGTCAAATCAAGTTTGGTTAAAAAATTAGCCTGAACGTAAAAATTTCTAGAATCTTTCAGTTGAGTGACAGTTTTTGTAAACTCAGAGTTCCATTGCATGTGAAGAAAAGCACCTCAAAGTCAAAAAAACATTTTCACTAGATTGAACCTGACTTGACTTGCCCAGCTCTGTCTGATTGCAACCAGAAGAGAACACCATAGGTCATTAGTATGATGTGTATTTGAGCTATTTCTACTATAAAAACATTTTATCTCTACGGTATATTTCTTAAAAGAAAAATTTATTTTTAGGGAAATTTCATTCAGAGTCACTGGCCTAAAAATACTTCAGAATATTGAAAGTATTAAATCCGTGCTCACAGCTCGTTCATTTACTACGTTTTCTTGCGCGAGTCTGCAATATTTTGCAGAGATATAATCAAACATTTCGGAACCTTTTTTTGATAGGATTACCTGTAATTCGAATGATTGTCTGAGATTTTATTTGTAGGGTGAAACTTGAAAAATATGATCTTGTTCAGTATGAGGTTATACACAGAAAAGCAGGTACGCTAAATCTTTGTGAATTCGTGAGAAGGAAGTCATAAGCATGAATTTTTATTTATGAGAGATATCATTTAATTAGACTAACGAGACGCACCAGATCGCAGTGGGAAATCGAGCATATCCCTAAAAAGTTTTTTTTGCTATTGTGTTCGATGATCATGTATGAAAATTAACTTCGTCAAAGTTAGAGAAGTTTAACGGCTCTGTTTACTCGTATGATCCAATTGATTATCATCAGGGTTCAAGAAAAAAGCACCATCATTACTGAGTATCCGTGGGTTACAAGAACTCTTTACTATTGTGTTTGACGTAAAAGTAGGATACTTGTGAACAAGCAGTTTTATTTTTCGGGAACAGCATTCAAATGATTATAAATAAATGAAAGGGATTTTTAGAATACGATGAGTTGATTTAAACAATATCTAATTGTATGATTGAAAAATAATCTTCGATTGATGATACCCTAAATTGCCGATGTTGATAACAAATATGAGATGAAAACTTATGTAAGCATAACAGGAAAGACATTTACAACAGCTCGTAACAACTCTCCTGTAATGATATTTTTGTCGAATATGGTCGAGATGTGCCATCTGAATTTTAAAAAAATATTCCGAAAACTTTATCTGCTACTAGGTTTATGCTATCAGGATGGTGATTAATTGTACAGTTGTAATTTATTTTAGACTGATATCATGATTTCTATTGATATAGAATTCGAAGATTGCCTAGACTAGGCTTGCCGGTTAGGGTGGGGATCGGAGGGGCTAACCCCTCTCAAAAATTGAAAAGCTGTCATATTTTTAAAAGTTTTATAGTAATTTCTGACAGAAAACCCAAGAAAAACATTTTCTGTTATTACAATTTCTCTGCAAATCTGTGAATTTAACATTCGTCGTTCGGTTTCTGTCGAAAAACAAGATGAGACATTTTCTGCCCTAAAAATATGCTTCAATGCTTGCACACCATCTAACGAGCGAGCATTCCCAAATGATACTTGCCATTCGGGCTAATATTTTGCTTATAAGTTGAACCCATCGAGACTAGAAAAAGCCTAGAAGATTTTGTGTCACTAGACCTATCTTTTAAAGTTACGACTATTTTACTGAATTTTCCACCTTGTGTAAGAAATTTATAGAAAAATTTTCGATGACAAAAGAAATTGCATATCGAAGAGGAGTCAATTTTACAATCATTTTTTGAAAAATGACCGATTTATTTAATATGCAATATCTCGATAAGGAAATATCTGTTTAACTGAAAATTTTACTACCTACCAATATCCATGAGACATATTGTCAGGTGGAATTACAGCCCGAAACTTCACCATTTGATTTTTCTATAAATTCTTTATCCAGGGTCGAAAATTCAATAAAATGGTCATAACTTTAAAAGAAAAGTCTATCGGTACGAAATCTTGTAGGCTTTTTCTAGTCTCACTGGGTTCTACTTATGAAAGATCATCGAAGCATCGGAAAATTTTTTCTCAATTTTCTTTTTGAATTGAAAAGAGTCGTCACCACTTTAGTTTACTGTCAAACAAAAATGAAATCCGTCCCGAACGAGAGTCTTCGTTGTTATGAACTATTGTATATATACGGTACTCGACATTAGCGCACGGCGATCAAAGAAATTGTCGCCGGAGTCATACAATCATTTTTCAAGGTTATATGTTCTGTAGCTTATTCGGTCTCTGACAAACATGTTCAATCAATTTTTTTTTGCATTCTACACGTTTCTTTTTCCACACAACCAAAGATAGAAAATCTACGATATTTCATTATAAAACCATATTAAATAGGAAATAGATACGGAACGTTTGCTTTATCTTTTATTTAAGTTATAGAAGAAATATGGGAAAATATCACCCTTCGGGGTCTTTTTAAAAGCCTGGTACATGAATTCAAACAGTTAAATTCAGTTTCAATAAATAATTGTCTTTTTTGAAAAAATAAATATTTGAAAAAACCTACTAAAAGTGCACTTTTATATGAACGTTTTCTTTGAAACACAGGCAATCACCTTCTATTTTTTGCGAGAGTATAATTGCGCACGACTTCACTAAAACATAGTTTATGGAATACTTTATTCGAATAAAGTTCTCTGTTATATATTTCATCAGTATATCGCATTTAGTAGAATGGAAATACATGATTATTTTATAAGCGTAAGAAAAGCACGTTATTCTTATGAATAATATTCCTACTGCAAAATATCGCTCGAAAAGTACGATTTATTCATGCTTTTTTAAAATTAACTAAAAAGGCAAATATCCAAGAAATATTTTATTCTGATTTACACTAAGAACATAAGGAGTTTAACTCAAAATCTCAGCCAAGTTTTCAAAAATTGTATTTGCACGTAGTCGTTATTTTTCATATACTCCAAGCTACCAGTTGTATGCTTGGTTCTGACAAAAAGAAATTTTTATTTTGCAAAATTCTTTAATATATTTAAAATTGATCAGTCAACTATTCTTCTATTGAAGATTGTGAGTGAATAGCTAAATACGTAGCAAACTATATGTTGAAGAGGACAATCGCTAAATTTAAAATAAAATTATCAACATGATTTAAGTTTACTCATGCAAATACGAAAGAATTGCTTTTGGCTTCTTTCGTCTTTTTATGGATTCGCATTTGAACACGTATCCAAAAATACTTTTCAAGCATGATCGTTCAAGCTTTTTTACAAGTTAATCGCATGTGAAAATATAAAACAAATACCAGTCTGAACAATAATTAGAGAGCAATCTAGAAAGAACTGTGATATTTGTCATGCTATCAGAATTTAATATTCTTTTCATGACTTTAAAAATTCATTTTTAATTTAACTTCAAAGCTTGGAACCATTAGAATTTCGAAAACAATAGGCACTGTATTAGATGACTACTTTTATGAGATTGACACTAAATCCTCAATCAAGACTGACTGCAAATTAATTCATCAATGTTGTGCTAGTGTAATCCGTCGTAGTATAAAAACCTCTCGAAAATTGAATTGAATAGACGATAGTATTCAAAAGAAGCTTTTTCTGAGTCAGACAAGTTTTCAATATTAATTAAATTTTAACCTTAAGAAGAAACATTCTTCACCCGACGCTTCTAATGTATTAAATTGAATTAGATTTTACGTGCGAAAAAGAAGTACAAAGACATCAATAAGCGCATGAATAAAAATGACGAAGAAAAACAAGCACGTGTCTTCAAACAATTTTGGAATAATATGTTTTATGTCAAATTCAAAGAAAGATTTAGCATTTGTGATAGTACCTTGACAATAATTCGTTCTCGTCTGTCTCAGAGAGGAAGAACGTTTTAATTGTACACAAAGTTTCGTGCGCATCGATAATTGTATTCAATGATTTTATCCAACAGAAGTATTGAAATTAACTTCTATAGCAATATTCAAATTTCCGTCTGTAAATAATTTGAAAGCGTTGTTCAGTTTTTTTTTCTCGTCATTTATGAATGTTTGGAAAAACTTCATGCTTTATATCACACTCATTCGTCTAGAATTTATTAATGAAATAAATAATTAATCTACAACTATTGATAGAAGTTTTATGTAGTCTAGTTAATGACACCCTCTTTCTCTACGAGAGTATTAAGTATATTTGAACTTTCACCGAAGACTAAATAAAAATCCATGAAGCTTATGATGTCTGCTTTTGTTGTCTTTACTGAGAGAAATATTCAGATAGACAAGTTACACTTGAATACTCATACCTAAAACACAAAACAAAAAAGTTCATGCTATGAAACTATTTTGTTTCTGAAATCAAACGAATTTCAGATGGAAACATAACCATGAATCTCGAAACAGGAAAAACGACCAGATTACTAGCAGATATAGTTCTATAAATATATATCGATAGAAAAAAGAGTAGAATGTGAGAAAAATAATGCTTTTATTACAATTTAACACACAGACTATATTAATCTACAAAGAAAGAAAAAGGAAGAAAGAAGGAAAGAAAGAAAAGAAAGAAAGAAAGAAAGAAAGAAAGGAAGAAAATACAGTTAAAGAAATAGACGTAGAGAAATTGAGAGACATACTGTGTTACAACATTTACATGTTGAATTCTGCTGTAATGACCGAACATATCGACATCAAGCGTATCAATAGTGATCTTCGTTATCGTTTTGAATACATATCAAAATTTCTTAATTTTACATCGGACGACATCGCTATGCTGAATACATTTGCGCCGCTTGCTTTTCCGCTGATTCCAGACTTGGCTGATACAGTTTATAGGAAATTATTTTCGTATGATATAACAAAACAACAGTTTATTTTAGCTGCTGAAGGTTTTGAAGGATTTTTACCGAGAAAACAATGCGGACTTACATTAGAATCTGCTCCGGTTGTACTTCGAAAAGATATGTTCAGCATTTATTTACGACGAGTTTTAACAGAACATGAATGGAATGATACATTTCTTCAGTATCTATCGCAAATTGGAAAACTCCATACAGATCAAGCCGGTTCAGCATCGCTTAACATTGATTTCATACATATAAATGCTCTACTTGGATATTTAGAAAATCTACTTATTGCAAAATTATGCAATATTGATACGATGGATGAAAAAACCAAATGCGGAATTTTAATGGCAATTAATAAATTTTTTTGGATACAAAATGATCTTTTTTCATTGCACTTTTTAAGAGCATTAAACGATAACGGTGCATCGCAAAATTCAACTGAAAAAGATAAAACAACAACAACATGCTGTTGGGCTTAATGGATCAGTAATCAAAGAAAAACAGCTGAATTGTCAGTTTCTTTTGTATATAAACATACCACACATGTATTTTGTGAATAAATAAATGCGACCAGCGAAAAGAATACAAAAATAAAAGTATATGAAGCGTTGAAAAGAAAACAATGTTTTGCATTATTAGAATAGCTAAAATATAGGTCAAAGATCAAAATCGACTATACTATTGAGGAAGCATTTATTTTTATTTTTGTTTTCAATAAATGATACGGAACTTTTTCTATTATTAGAAAAATTTCAAACAACTTAAAAAGACATGTATAGAAGCATTTTTTTTGTAATCACGGAGCGGATACAATCACACTATCAAATGCGATCCGAATGATTTTTTTTGTGAACGTCATTCATCAACTGTATCCGTAGAAATATATAGTGAAAACATCGTCGTATTGTTTTATGGCTGCTTTAAAAGACTGCCGGAAACTTCAGCAAAAGTAGAAAAATGAATAACAGAATAAAGAAACAAAAATTGTAATAACTCTTCTGAATTTATAAATAGAAGCCGTTTTTTGGCATCGTACTGCATACAATGAAGTAGGCCAATCGTCGTTGTTCGAATCTATTATAAAGATGATGATAATTGAAAATATTTATTATACATAATGAAGCGGATGAATTCACTGTGTCGCACAATATAAAAGGGCGCATCATCACATTGATTAGAATTACTTTTCTATGAAACCTTGAATTCTGACTTTTTTTGAAGATCTTATTTCCTCTGTTTAACTGGTAGCCATCGAAAATTACTTATTCATTCAGTGCAGTGTAATGTCTCTTGATAATAAGCCAGTAATACGTACTTCGAATCAAGCATTGTCTGATAACAACACACGATCTTATATACATAAATTAGCACACTAATCGCGCCAAATCAACATTCTTCTCGATTATTGATGAAGAAACACTCAATTATGAATACTGAAATCTTGAAGTACTTCAAGAATATTTGAATAAGAAAATCAGATAAACATAATTGAGTTTTATAACAAAACCAACATCAAGTCTTTCATCGACATTAGTATCAAATTTTGATTGCTCGAACTCGACCCTATGAACTTTGCGCGTCAAGTTATTTCCTAAATTCAGTATCTTCGCGTCTACTCCGAAAATTATTATTGCATACAGTGTTGTTCAAAACACGAACAGACTATTACAATATCCCGCACATCATATTTTTTCTGCAAGACTTTGAGAGCTTAACTGATTCACTACTAAAATAATAAATGACAATGACGGATTTCGATTCGTACAATCGTATCCGTTTTGTTTTCTTTAGCGTGCCTTCAATTGTGATCGCACTTCTTTTCTTACTGAATCGCATTCTTCTTTAAATATTGTGAGATAGGATGTTGATAAAATGAGTCACCATTTTGACCATTAACGTAATTATTAGTATTTTATTATCTTTCAGGACAAAAACGAATCGGCAAATATGCAGATTAAATAATATAAATAGACTGAGTGGATTCGAAAATACTCATTTTTATTCTGTGAGAAATTGTTGGTGGACCCTATGGAGTTTTTTTTAAATATAATTTATGTTTGAACAACAGCATGCTGGTATAATTGATTTATTTATTCTCGCCGATGTTTCGCTTTATCTTGCGGCTTAGATTTCGTTGCGAGAAAATGCCTAGGACTCAATTGATAATTTACTTCTTCTAAAAGAAGAAACTGTGAGACAACATCACAAGAAAAACCGCTATAAATGGTAGTGTTCGCTGACTTCATTATTTATGCTAAGAGTTCAAAGATAAAAAATGTAAAACTGTCTGCGTAAATTTCTCATGCAATCGCCTGTGACATTTCAAATTTTCTTCAATTAGAAACGATATATTACGCCATTAGATATTTGTTTTAATTAACAAGCCCAATGAATATGACGACGGCTTGCCAAAAGAAATCTATCAAATATTTGTTTATTTCAATAATCGCGTCTAAAATATTGATAATTAGTTTTTGTAAATGATTCTCTAATTATTCATTCTTAAATCATTTTAATCGTATTAATACTATCATTCGTAAAAAAATGTGGTTGGATAATCGGATATCAGCAACAAAGTCAAAGTACATATACGTAAAACATTGAAAGTACCGGTGAAACTTAAAAGAAAAAGAATCATGAGCGGAGTACATCCACTGTATGGTTTTATTTACCGAGCAAAAATTCTTTCATTGTGTGCAAAAAGGTATAATGACAAATCATGTAAGTTAGCAAATTTGACAGCTCTCAATCTATTATCGCTGAGTTAAATAACATGTGCATATCATCTGAATCGTCCGTGAGCCTGTAGACACAAACATTCTTAACAGCATGAAACACTAATTCCACGAGAGTTCTATTCAAAAATCGACATCATTAGTTTTTTTTTCTAATTCTTTATTCAGGTAGATGCAGCTGAAAAAGTTCATTGATCCACAGAAAATATTCTTCCGAATTGAAATAACGCGCAGCTATTTATATTCCTATGACAGTAACTCAAGTCTCCATGTTTTATTGCACAAATAATACTTTCATCATGATTAGTGAAAAAAAACAGCAGACAAAGCTTTGCATCTGAAAGCCTCTAATGAATAGAAATAATCCTGAGAGCATTTTGTCACAAATTCATCGAACGACGAGTTTTTGTATTTCATTGGAGTGACGAATTAAAAAGATCTTATTTTAGGAATTTCATCGCAAGTGTTAACGCAGGATTGTTTGTTCGTTTTAAATGAATTCTTTGCACTTTGCTCGCTTAAGCCATGCACAAGAACACCAATCTAATCATATTTACTTGTTCGTTTAATATATAATTAAATTTGACATTATTAGCATTCAAGACGAGGGTTATTTTGTGTCATTAATCACATTCATCGAAGCATCTTCTTTTAGAATCTATCGCACTCATTTAAAATTACAGGTCATATTTTATAGAAATCAACGTTGCTTTGCGGAATCATTAAAGATTATTGTTTTTCAACATAGTACGTGATATCGCCTAACATCATGCACTTACAATAGAAATATTTTTGCAAAAAATCCTTGATAATTATGCCATATAAAGAAAGTGGTTAAGAGTTTATCGATGTTTGTTAGATTTTGATTTTGTAGTTCATTGATGTTTCACTTTAAAAAAAAAAGTCAGTTACTCCATAAATTATTAATCGATGGGAACAACTCAAAGTATATTCTAAGTTAAGTAATCAAAATTAGAGTCATCCTGTAACACAATAGAAAAAAAAGAAGACTTATATTTTAATGCATCGGAAAACGATCAAAGTGACGTTGGTAAAGATTTTCTTCTTTAATAAAGAATAGAAATAAATAATACCCCATTCTTTTTGTCATAATTACATCAGAAAAAGGTAATTATTTTTTGTAAAATCCAAGACATATCCTCGTCAATATGACTACAGATTATAAACGCAAGAATTTTTATTCGAAGCTCTGCGTCGTGTTATCTTCTGCAAAAAAATTGTCATTTCTATATGATATATTGTAATTAAAGAAAATTTACATATTCAGCACTTCTCACTAGCACATGCTATGAAACGAGGAAAAAACTAACAAACAGAAAGTCGAAGGAATGAATGAATGTCATCTTCATCTGCAACTCAACAGACTTATCACAGCCTCCCAAACACACATACAAAAAATGAAGAGAGAGAGAGAGAGAGAGGGAGGGAGGGAAAGAGAAGAAAGAAGCAAAGAAAAAAAGATCGTGAAGACCGATGATATGAATATGTTGGCATAAATATTATTTTTATCGTCATGACTGAGCACGTTGATGATCGTCGACTCCATACTGATCGTCGTTATCGTTTCGATTATGTTTCGAAATTTCTTAACTTCACTCAAAATGATATTACCATGCTTAATACATTAGCACCGATTATATTTCCGAGTGTTCCAGTTATCATTGATACGATCTATAGAAAATTATTCTCCTACGATATAACAAAACAGCACTTTATTGTACGCAATCAAGGTTTTGAAAATTTTGCTGCAACGCACGATAGTAATTTAGCATTGGATTCAGCACAAATGCTCTACAGAAAAGATATGTTAAGTATGTATTTGAAACGTTTGTTAACACAAACCGAATGGAACGACGCATTTCTTCAATATATGACACAAGTTGGTCAAATGCATGCGAATAAAAGTGGTGCAGGATCGATTAATGTTGATTATATACATATAAATGTTTTATTTGGTTTTATGGAACATTTATTAGTCGATAAATTATGGAATACGAACGGTATTGAGGATAAAAATAAACATGGTATGATTATTGCAGTTAATAAATTATTTTGGATTCAAAATGATATTTTTTCAATGCAGTACCGAGCTTCGTCGAACAATAAATCATTTTCTGTTCAATCAACAAAAGTGAATCCAACATGTTGTTTTCCATTGCATTAATATTAAAGTTCGTTTTAAAAACACTATACGTTTAGTTACAATATGCAACTGTAAAATACATTAATTTTCTTATAAATCCCTACACAGAATAGAAGCCCACCCCCTGGGTTAGATGTCTCCGTTGACAATCAAGGCTTACTTCATGAAAAATGAACTAAAGCCGATGAAAAATGAAAGGATGAACATTTCTCTATCATATAACGCAAAAACTGACATCAGGGCATGCTTTATTACAAAATTATCGCTTGCGAAACAGAGACACCACCCATGGGCTTATATTCTGTATGGGGGTTTATTCCCAAAAAGAAAACGGAAAAGTAAATAAATATACAACAAATAAATTCTTTTTTTCCTACTGCAACTCATGTTTACCATTTGATTGGCTTAGTCATGAACTGACGAGGCGAAACTCTATTGTTTGTTCGCTACTATTGTTTTCGATAATATAAAAATGAAAGGGGAAAGGACAGTTTCTGCAGAAAACTCTATCCGATTAAAAAATTTAATGGAACATTAGATACAGATGTTTTCTCATCAATAAGGGATTATCTTTTCTCAAGGACAAAATGAATTACAAATGCACTGTCGGATGCAATCTACGTGTAACAAGAAGATCCTTTTCTCTTTTCTAAGATGCTACAATTATAACCATAGATAAACAACTACAACAGCAATTTATTTTTACACATACAATATTAGGTTACAAATTTTAATAATAAATGAAAAAAACCAACAGACAAAATAACTCAAGTACCGATGGAAACATATTCCTTGAAAAACGACGCATGTTACTTTATCCACGAATGAACATGATTTTTGTTTCTTTAATTTTATTTGCACAAATTGGTAAGTAGTACAGACAGAGACAACTTTGCTGATTTCTACAACGAAACTACTTTTACAGGCTGATTTTATCATTCGAAAACTTCCGCTGATCAATGGAACGCTCTTGTCAATATGTATTTTCCTCTTTAAGAATCAAGAAACTAAACAAGGGTCTTCAAAAAGATCAACATGACATTTTCGCACTTAACTATGCGCATTTCCTTTCATAATAATTCATAATAATAGTAATCCATGTAGATAGGTTGTGGTTAATCAAAAATTAAGAACAAGAATCGAAAATAGAATAGCGATGAAAATTCTTTGAAAAATTTAAAAATCTATATATATACATTAGCTCCATTCATTTAGGAAACTTCCAAGCTTAATACATTTTCTTCATCTAGGATACAGTGATGGGTTTCATCGATTTTATTACCTACGTCAATAGTCATTTTTATATGCGTCCGACATTTTTGCTTGAAAATCCGAAAGTAATTAATCGCGGCTCGAAAAAATCCCTAGGATCAATTTTGTTGTTTGCAAAGTGGGGCCGGTTTCTTTGTTAGAGAGACCGAGACTTGTTCTAAATCGTATTTCACAAAAAATATCTCGTAGCATTAAACTGTAGTTTCCTCTAGAAAAATTCTTGTTGTGCGAAATAGTTACACGAGCAAAGGTGCAATATATTTTGTCCTGAGTAAATAGAAGTTTTTAGTGTCTAATCATGTCAACGAAGTCTTATGAAATGAAGAAAAAGTACAAACTCTGAATGTACTTCTTGTGAACCTGTACATGCTAAAATCTTCCTGTTAATCAACGATGCACATAATACAAAGGAAGCATTGAAGCTCAGCTTTTACTTTTTCCACTTTGCAGTGCATCTTATCAAAACTACGCAGATCAATTTATATAAAATAAAACACTTTTTCTCACAATTGAGCATAAATTATGCTTCTTAGCATTTGTGTTGGTTTCGAACAACAAATTATACGCACCATTTAACTACGAAGAATTATAACAATTGAAGACGATGAAATCACCTGATTATAAGAGGAGTTTAAGTTTATATCATCATAGTATCTATCGTTTCCTATTATTTATATAGGAGACTGAAAACAAATTTCAAAAGAAGGATTGAATAGAATGTAGCCTTCAGGTAAGTTTGAATCCTTTTCATACACAATAGTTGACTACAATCCATCAAATAGATAAGTAATATTACAGAAAACCAATCGATAAATATGACTTTCCGGAGACACTGTTGATTGTAAATATTGAATGTGTTCAATACTAGGCAACACATTGTTAAATTAAGCAAGAGACGAGTAAGTTAGTAACTCGAAATTTTAAATTGTATTGGTCGAAGAAAATCGATCGTTCCAATAGTTAGAATTATCAGGTTTCTCAAAAATTTCTTCGAGAATTTTATGAGTTAGTAATCAACAAGATTCTCAGATAGGTCCGATTGCTTTCTCAAGAGTGCTATATTCTTTTCATAGTAACGATTAGAATTTTCTGGCAATACATAAAATTTCCCCAGAAGTTTCCTTCGTGAATAGGTTTACTCTCATAGCATCAATAGATTCCTTTTTCACGCGTGCCGACCTTTTCTTGGCAAAGTGAATCTCAAGAATATTTTACCCTGAAGCTTCCGAATGTTTTTGCATAATAGAACTCGAAACGTTTTATCGCGTGATGCATTTAGCAATATTATCACGCGCAAAAAACTAATCATTTTCGATCAACAATCATTCGCTTCCTATCAATCCCAATATATATATATATTTTTTTTTTGAACACGGTTGCATGTGTTGCATAGGCTAAAATTCTGTTGATTAGTTAACCCTTCTTTATTTTGCCACCTTTTTGTTTTCCTGGGCGGTATGGCACCATACAATTGCTAAACAAAAAGTTCAGCATTGGTAGTGTAAATACGAAGGTTTTAATCAAAGGGAGTTGCGTTTTTCATGCGATAATATCGATAAGGTCATTAGAGTTTTTCTATTTCCATCGCTAATTAAAATTTAACAAGTGTAAATTACAGATCTATTGAAAATATCAATATATTTTGCATTTAAATGATGGCTATTTTTTTTCTACTGCACATCTAGTAGAAGAGAATCTTGATTATAATTAAACGAATATAATATAAAAATAGTCTAATTTCAAAAGATAAGCATTTCTTATCGAGGTGAATTACCAAAAAATAATTATTATGAAAAATCTGATCAGTGCTTTGACAAATAGCCTTGGGAAAATTCATGTGATCGAGCGGAAAATGTCAGTGATTAGTAAATTTATTATCATGCAAAACAAAAAAGGAACAATACCAGAAAATCCTGATATAGTTATTATAATGTCATCAGTGTTTTGAAGCTCTCCGAAGGTTGCATTTGTTGATCAATAAGAAAATTTTCTTTGAAAAATTCGATTACAATGTAACGTTATTTAATCAACATCATATAAATTGTTGTTTCTCAACTACAATAGCAAGTGTTTAAACAAATCTTAACATGGTTCGCTTTTCAAAGTAACAAAAATCCGATTTTATTAATTTGAACATCTGTATTTATTTAATCGAAGGTATCATTTATACATCTATCATAAATCCTATCCAATAAAATATTTATGTTGCGTTTTGAAAAAGAGTTCATCGACTGTATTGGAAGCACAAAAGTACCTGTTGATTATGTTTTTTGATATGACGGACATAACATTGAGTATCGATGTGAAAAAAAAACTCATGTCGAATGGAACTAAGTGCACTTCTTTATTTAGAATAATTTCATTGTTGACTGTGTCCTATGAAAAATTACGAACCTAAAGATATTAATGTATATAGACAGGTAGTCTTTTATAAATGAATAACAACAGTGCGAAAATGAATTATAGTTTATTTTTAGTTTTTGAAATTCCTGATAGGTTTAGGATCATAGTAATTTCATTAGTTTTTTAGATATAGATTTACACAGAAAAATATTCTCTTACCACAATATTCTATTTTGAAATTGCTTAAATGTGATGAAGTTTTTCTAGACACAATGCTTTTATATGGCTCGATTAAAATCAGAACGCTGGCAGTGATAAGCAAGATTACCCACGTAGTCGGTTGTTGCATTATCATATAATTATAGTCATTATTTGCTACTATAATGCATTATAATTGAAAAAATTCCATTATAACGCATTATAATGACTAGAACTGCATGATAATGCATTGACCGGCTACATGGGTAATAGTATTATCAAATAACCATCTTAGCAATAATTAACCTGTTTTTGGCATCGGGGATTATTACATACATTGAATGAGCCAAAATTATTTTTGAATATTTGAAGACGAGTTTCGACCCTTATTGTACTCTTGTCTGCCTATGAGAAAAAGGTATGCTAGTTTTTTAATCAATAATATCGTCACATTGAAAAAAACGCGTAAGTACTTAAGAGAATAAATTTTCTGTTAAGATTATATCTTAGAATCCAACCAACGTTAAGATCTGAATTTTTCACAATAGAACCTTATATTATTTTTAGGACTTTGTTTGCATAAAATGTCATGTCCAAATTCTAGAATCATTCTTGTGAAACAGACCATCGTGCGAATTTAGAAACTATCCTACACGTCTATTTACTAAAAAAAACTTCGATTTCGTCTAGATTCAGAGATCGTTTACTTGTCAAGACATTTTGCCTTCAAGAACATGCATTGACATTCGTTCACGTACAGAGAGGACCATCCTAATCGATATTCATCGTTTGCAATCATACTATGCTCGCACTGAAATTGTCCAACAAATATTAACCGGTTTCAAACAACTAATAAAAACAAAATTGTCAAGAATTACTTTACAGTTCAAAGAAAAAGTAAACTTCTTTTTCTCAACCGTAATATGAAGGTCCAATGAATGTTATACGAGATTGAGTAGGAGAAATAGAGTCAGAGCGAATTTTTATGACTACATTCCAAAATTAATACCATGTACTAGTATTATCCAACAAAAGAGAACCAATCAAGTTTTGACTTCCGTAGCTATTTGATCTGGAAGATATAGGAAACGACTGTCTTACAGAACACGATCAAAGAAGACGTAAGTCATGATTTTGTGAAGCGATAAAACACGATAAGTTCTACATTTGTTACATCTTATAATAGTTACATAATTCCACGAGAGACG